CCCATTCAAAATAACTCCGTTAAATACTACCCAAATTGCTAATAACTGTTTATCACTTACTATGTACTAGTCACTTCGCTGAATATTTTACATGCATTGTTTCATTTCATCCTCACGACAACCTTTAAAAAAGAGGAAGAGGCACATATTAAATATAAAGTAACTTAGCCTTGAAGGGGTTAAATAACTTGCCCAGGGTTACTTAGCTTAAAAATGATAGAACTAGAATTTGAATCCTGGTCTCTGTTGCTCTCAAGACCTAAAACCAGACTTCCGATTTCTTCTGATTATTCCATGTAGTCCCATGGTACTTGGAAAAAAACTGGAGATGTTTGTATCCAGTTTCCCTAACTACCAAAAAACTATCAGAATCACCTGCTGAGCTTTTCAGTTTGTAAATGTCAAAGCTGCACCTCAGACTCACCCCTCCCTGAGGGAGGGATCTTCGGAATCATTTTTTAGTTAGTGTTGTCTGGTGATTGTTTCTTTAAGCTGCCCTATTCAGTAGGCAGATATATTCAAAAAATAAGACAGACATTGCTTGAAAACAGTAGCAGTCGATCATTTAAGGAGCTAACAATTTCACATTTTTAGACACTTTTTTCTAATCATATGTAATTTGTACTAGAAAAAATCCTAACCTAAAATCAATAGTGAAAATGTTAAGTTGAACTATGTGAAATGGCTAGTAATTTACCATTTTTTACCTATAAAAATGGCAATTTTTTATGTTTCAGTATGTTTGCATTTCAGTTCTACCCCCTAGGAAAATACTCTCTGTTATTGCAACCACGCCATTTAAAATTTTAATCTCAGAGTTATCTATGTAACTTTGTCATTTCTCGTTCTAGTGATCGCAGTGATAGCAGCCACCCTCTTCCCTCTTTGGCCAGCAGAAATGAGAGTAGGTGTTTATTACCTCAGTGTGGGTGCAGGCTGTTTTGTAGCCAGCATTCTTCTTCTTGCTGTTGGTAAGTATTGTTATCAGTAAATTTGACCTTAGTAAGGTAGATACCAAGCAGTTGGGACTGCAGTCTGGAGCTTCAAGTAAAGCTTAATAGCAAAACTAATGTAGACAAATGAAGTATATGGACCTACTTTTTGGGTCATATCCCAAAACTGACTCAAGTTTGAAATAGAATATGTACCTAATTCAATTTGGTCTATTGTGAAGAAAAAGTATTTAATGTCTCTTAATCTTCATGTAGATCTGTTTTAAAGTTTAGCCACCACAAAGACTTTAATATTTTTACAGGGGTTGTTCATTTATGAGGCACAATACTTTAGGTAAAGCATTTTTATATATTGACTTAAGGCAAATGAAACTTGTATTAAATGTTTAAGTTCTATGTGTGTATTCAATAAATGATTCTAAACAATTGATTTGCCATTTGGGGAAAAATTTTGCACCCGTATACCAAAATAAATTCTAGATGCATTAAGGGGTTTTAAAATGGTTTTTAAAAATCAAACAAAACATAAGTAATGTTTTTTTACACTTCTGGATGAATAGGGTCTTTATAGCTAAAAAGAAACCAATATAAAAATAACTCACTTCAAATGAGGAAATTAAAAAACAAATGATTAATAAATACATGAAAAATTCTCATCACCAGTAATCAAACAATAAAATTAAGATAATGTAGTTTTTTGCCTGTTTAATTAGGAAGTTTGTTTTTTTTTAAATGGAAATACTCAATGCCAGGGAGGGTTTGACTAGAAGGAAATACACCTAAATATAAATAGTGGTGATAGTTGTGAATACTTTCTTGAATATACTTGTCTGTATTTTTTACAATGAGTATGTTACTTAAACTGTGAAAAAAACCAACAAATATTATTTTACTTAAAATCCTAGTCTTTGAAGATTTTCCCACATAGGGTGAGCAGGTCTAATTTAACTTTTACTTTGAGAAAGAAATGGGAATTTTTCTCAGCTTATCTAAAGTTGTATATTGATTTTTAAACTTCTATATATAATTCTTTGGTCCCTGTAGAGTTTATATTGGCATATGGTACTAAGTTCTGATTGTTTTCCCCAAATGACAAATCCACTTTCCACCAAGACGTGAGAGAGTACTTCCTGTACAGAAAGAAAAAACATCAGAGTATTGACCTAACGTCTGTTGTTAGAGGACGTACTTTGATTATCCGAGCTGAGCACATGTTATTCTGAGGTTCTGTGATATATAGTATCCTATATTATAAAGCATTACTCATCTATTCCTAAGCAATTTTCCTCTGCATGTCCATTCACCCTGGACATCAGGGTGTCCTGAGTTAGTGCCACCATCCCTGGACCCAGTGGCTCATGTAGTATTTTCATTCAATTTATCATGTTTATGGGCCTCCCTTTTCTCTCTGTGATCTCTGACTCTGTGAAGCTTTCTTCACCCACCTTTCATATTTTCCCTCCTCTAACTTAGTCACCTTGAGGAAGGAAGTCCCCTGATGCTTCTGCATATAACACAGCACATTTGTAGGCCAAGAAATTATATTTAAGATTGTGAAGCAGCTAACCTAGTGGTAGTATACTACCTGCATCAAGAATGAGAAGCTATAAACTTTGATCTGACATTAGATAGAATCAAATTGGTTATCTTCAGGTTCTCAAATCCCTGAAAATTTAGAAGCTCTTTGAAAAACTTCAGTGAAGATTTAACTCTACTGAATAGAATTACTTATCTTTTATTTAAACTAGTATTCACAATAAGTTATAGTTATTATATCATTTTGCTCTTTAAAAATACCATTTTTTAGTAGTGTTTTTTATCATTTTTCATTTTAAATATACTATGAATTTAAAAATGCATTGTGGATTAATAATCTTGTGAATTAAACTATAAAACAAACCCAACATTTTGTTTATGTTAGAAAATGCAATTCCAAATATGCTTTCTTTTTTTTTAATTTTATTTTATTATGTTATGTTAGTCACCATACATTACATCATTAGTTTTTGATGTAGTGTTCCATGATTCATTGTTTGCGTATAATACCCAGTGCTCCATGCAATACATGTCCAAATATACTTTCAAATAGTTTTCATCTGTAGCCCACTTATAAACTGGGTATTTTATATTATCCTGTGAAATATTATATATTGGTCAAAATTATATTTGGTGCGCCTTTGAATATGTATAAGGCCTTTGACAGTTTTCTAAATGTGTCCTTTTTAGTGTAAGAGCAGTATGGCAGTAAATACACAGTGGTTTTCCCATGATTGTTCCATGTTTGCCCCTGGTAATCTAATGCCACATAAAACCTGTTGGAGTTTTGCTGTGCGCAATTTATATATGTGGAGAATTTAAGTTTGTGCCATTTCTGTATTTTTCTTTTTTTGGATTTGAGTCAAGATTTCCAGTTATGGACCATCTGTCTTATAACCCTACAACGTCTATCATAGTATCATAATTTTATTTGGAGAAAAAAATATGTGGCCTCCTTAAAAAACATTCATTATTTCTTTTTATCAGTGGAATTTATTCTTAAATCATAATTTCAAACATATTTGCCTTTTCTCTTTGTACCTCAAAAGACATCAATGTGTACAGACTTTTAGAATATTTATGTTCTTTGTGAAAATAGTAATTACTACTTCATAAAAGTCAAGGCAGTTATAACCATTTCCTTTTAGTTATCCCAAGCAGACTAATGGAGGAGGCACAGATAGCTGAGCTTTTTTCAGACCTGACATGAAAATGGTGATATAATTGTAAAGAAAATGAAAAGCAAAACAAACCAAAATCTGTCATAATTGTTTGTCCATAACATTCACATAATTATTATGACCTTAAAAAAAACAAAAAAAACAGGAAAAATCACACAGCTCTGTACAACTGGTAAATTAAGAGAAAACTATATGAAATACTGAGGCTTGTGTTTGTGAAAACTCATTACTATAAACTTTAAAATTCTCAAATTCTTCCATTATCTAACCACAGTTTCGAGTTTGAGTTTTGAGAGTAACCTCAAGCCCTACCGTTTTATTATTTCCTAATATTAGGAGAGGAATGGCCCCTAAATAAGCAGAAATTAGATAACTAGTTAACAAAATTGTAGCCAGGAAAGGTATGTTCAGAAGTATGTAATTTTACTTAGAAGACTTACCGTTCAGGCAGAGTAGGCACATGCCTTGGATCCGTGACATATTTAGGGCCCTGTAGAAATGTATTTTCATTTCTTTTAAAATCAGAAGTAGTAATATGTACACATGTATATAGTAATGAACCTATGCATATTTGTATTTATACCAATATGGTCATAAAGAGTATAATTTTTAATATTTTTTTATGGAGGTATTGCCTCACAAAGGCAAAAGTGCCTAGAGTCCAGGAAAGTCATGCTGCAGCCTTGTTTTTTCCCTTTTAAGGGCTTCTTAAAATATCCTTCATCCCTGACTACATTTATTTCCTTTTTCTTATACTGTGGTCTCATGCATACTTAAACGTCCAACTGAGGCTATGCTTATTGATCTACGACATAGCAAAGTGTGCCCTCAGGATCAGAGCAGAATGCTCTGCACCAAGGATACTGTGGTTGCTGCCATAAACTAGCCAGGATTTAATTGTTTATATTCAAGTTACATGTAATGTGCAAATAATAAACTTTATGAATATTTTTTCAGTTTTTTGTTAAATATTCCCCGTTATCTGAGTCAATGCTTGAGTTATTCAGTTAGAGACATTTTTTTCCTACAGCTCGTTGCATTCTGTTTCTCATCATTTGGCTCATAACTGGAGGAAGGCACCACTTTTGGTTCTTGCCAAACCTGACTGCTGACGTGGGCTTCATCGACTCCTTCAGGCCTCTGTACACACATGAATATAAAGGACCAAAAGCAGACTTCAAGAAAGATGAGAAATCTGAAACCAAAAAGCAACAGAAGTCCGACAGTGAGGAAAAGTCAGACAGTGAGAAAAAGGAAGATGAGGAGGGTAAAGTAGAACCAGGGAATCATGGAACAGAAGGCTCAGGTGGAGAACGGCATTCAGACACAGACAGTGACAGGAGGGAAGATGACCGATCCCAACACAGTAGTGGAAATGGGAATGATTTTGAAATGATCACAAAAGAGGAACTGGAACAGCAAACAGATGGGGATTGTGAAGAGGAGGAAGAAGACAATGATGGAGAAACAACTAAATCTTCACATGAAAAATCATAACCTGACTAATTTGGGACTAAAAGTGCAAGAGGTTGGATTTTCTATGTTGGCTGATCATCCTAATGTACACATTTGTAGCATTCTTTAAATCCATTTGCTGAAATGTATTTGACATCCAAACAATTATATTCAGTCCTTCATTTCATAGAATATTATTATTGGTACAGTCTGAAGCCATTTATAAGTTGTATCTATTTGATAATTTTACAATAAGTAGGTCTTATTCGTTTTGATAGTTATCAAAGATGCATTTTCCACAATGATATTTAGATTAATGGCATTTTTGATAGTTGTATGGCTTTTTACTATTAGATTAATCAAAATAACTAAAACGGATAAAAAAGAAACCCCAACATTTCAGATTGTGCATAGTTATATAGCCATTTCACAGTTTCTTTAAAATGAAATGCTTAAACTCCTTGTTCTTGATGGTTAAGCTTTGGTTGAGTATAAAAGTATACCAGGAAATTTCTTAAGATTCTGAGTTAGCAGGGTTCAAAAGCATTTTGTGGAAACAAGCCAACTAGTAATACAGCAACACTTTTAGTTTAGCTACAAATTCTCCTTTTCCAACTTAGGAAATCCAAACTGATTTGTACATCTGACTCAGAGAAAGATAGTCATCTCCAACAGAGAAAGCGAAACAGCATTGGTTGGAAGGCGATGGCTCTTCTTCCCATTTCCTTGTCGTAAAGTAAAATGTATTCTGTACATAATTTACAAATAAACATTTTATTTTAATTGTTACTTATTATTTAGACATTTTCTCAACACTTAAATTTGTAAAATTAAGACCATGTAAGGGTATGTTTTTAGAGAAATGGAAGTTTCAATAACCCACAGAACATCTGTGATCTTTCTACAGCAGCTTCAGTTTTGTGCCAACATTCCATGTATTTGAATATGAGTTAAAAAGATCCTTATTAAATAAGAGCAGACTTAAAGTAGCTGTTTGTATGCCTTAATGTTCATTTTGATTTATCTTAAATCTCTACATTCAGAAAGGAGGTACAATATTATCAGACCAGGAGGCACTGCTATGAAAGATAATTTACTGTTCTAAAATATCAATTTAAAATAAAGAACATAAAAGAAAACATAAGAGAACCATTGGACTCTAATTGCTTTGAACTAGTTTTGCAGTTTGATTTTATGTCTTGCATACCTTAGTTACAAATCTTTTGGAAAAATCTTGTGTTTACCTATGAGCATAATATCATTCCTTGGACTTCTACTCTTATAAAATGATAATGAATATTAAATTATTTTCCTTCAGTCACAGAGCATTTTGCTTTGTAGTTGAAATAGGTGTTATGGGTAGGTCTTTTTTTTCTTTAGGCTGTTTCCCATCTAGTGTTTGACTAAAGATGTTAAATTTTTCTAATTGTGAAAAAAGACATTTTCTGTATACTGACACCTTTTATGAAACATGGTTTGACTGCTTCTTTATAGTATTCCTTGTAAGTGGACAGAAATATGGCTATTTGATGTTAATGCAACTCTGTCAAGGCTGCAAACAGTCATTTTAAAAGTTTCCTCCTAGCAAATGTTCATTGATTTAAGTGCCTGGGTGTTTTCCCCCTCACATTTTCAGAGCTCTACTGCTTACTTCCACAGTAAGAGTATGCATAATTATAGCTTCTGAGCTTCTTAATTACCAGTAGCACTAATACTTTTTTGGGGTATGGTAATGGTACCAAAATTGTTTTTTCAAAAATAAAAAAATGACTTAACTTTTACTACTATGATAATACCCAGGCACTCAATATTTATCCTAAAGCTCTTATAATATATGTAGTATGTCTAGTCTTAAAGACGTCTGGAGCATGGCAAGAAAGTCAGCTTCTCATTGATGTTTGTGGATTCTTACAGAATTTAGTACAAATTTTTATATATATTTGGTGGTCCCTGGGGAAAAATATCATTCTTACTATGGTTAGAAAGTGAGTTAGAAATTTCAGCTCAGTGTCTTCTACTATACAAGGTTGTATACTTTAAACAACTATAAAAATCAAAAGGCTGCCACTATCAGACACCTCAGAAGAATAGCTGGCTGTCTTTGTTGGCTAACATTAAATATTCTTAGGCCAGAGCATGGAGGAGCTGTTTACATTAGTCAGTGAAATGGTGATTTTTTTTTTTTTTAAAGGAACTTCAAGTTTGCTATGCTACTGTAAGTAGAAGCATGAAGCTTTTGGATAATGTAGGATTTATTGTGGAGTAGATATAAATTGGCCTAACTAAGGATTGAATTAACCAGCTGAGTCCAGGTAATAAGAATAAAGCATATGTAATTGTTCTTAAAGTCAATGTATTAGATTGTTTTCACTTTTCCCTCCCACTAATTTTAATTTTCCAACTATATGGCCTAGACAACTTGAATTGAAATAATTTGGATTTAGTCAAATACTCTTCAGAAACTAATAAATTTTAATGTAACACATCAAAATTATGCAGTGGTGATGGGTTTTAATGTTTCTCCGCCCCTTTGGTTTTGCATTATAAGTACCAGTTAGTTGCTGACATAGAAAAACCATCTTTTGTAAATTGAATTTTCTTTTTTGAATCTTTATTAGGAACTGGAAGATAGCAAGTACAGTTGATTGTTGTTCTTCGTGGCAGTTAGATTTTATAGTCACCACTAACACAGAATTAATGCTGAACCATTGCTCCTAGGGGAAATACAGGGCTATTGTTCTGCAAGCCTCTGGTCACATTTTTATCAACTAATCAATACATAAGCTTGTTTCAGGTGTCTGTGTTTTGTTGATTTACTAACACTGAACTTACGGTCAGCAGCCCTGTAACTTCACGCTTGACTAAAGCTCATCTAACGCATGTTATTTTCTCCATGAGGGACGTCACAGCCTTCTTGTATACCTATTACGAACATTAGACACCCTTCAGCGCTACATCTGAGGGCCATTTTGAATAGGGAAATCACCAAAGAAAGGACAAAAATGCAAAAAACGTGGCACTAACTAGAGCAAAGTATACTCATAATATGAGAGCTGAAGTACTTTGTTCAACCTCAAGTGGGAATATATGCATTGAGCAAGTCAAAATTTTCACTCCACAGGTGATCATGAAAACACCAGGAAAGTTTAAAGAGTAGGCAAACATCCAAACACTGAATCCATGAATAATGAGGCTCAATTGTACTTAATTATATTACAAAGCTATGTTATCTATCTGCCTGATCTACAGAATATATTGCTGAATCCTGTATTTCCATAACATTTATTTAAATTTTTTAAAAGGTTTTATTTTTAAGTAATCTCTCCACCCAACATGGGGTTCAAACCCACAACCCCAAGATCAGGAGTCACACACTCCCCTGACTGAGCCAGCCAGGTGCCCCTCCATGACTTTTTTTTTTAAGATTTATTTATTTTAGAGCATGCAAAGGGGGTGGGCGGGGCAGAGACAGAAGGAGAGAATCTCAAGAGGACTTCCCCTGAGCATGGAGCCCAACATGAGGCTTGATCTCATGGTCCTGACATGACCTGAGCCGAAATCAAGAGTTGGAAGCCTAACAAGTGAGCCACCCAGATGATCTCCCCTCCATAATATTTTAAATGTCCACTGTCTAAAACTGAATACTTAGTTCCCACCTGTTTGCTTTTACTCTTAGTTTCAGCAGCATTTCAGCTCTCAGTTTAATCATTCAGTAATACTGAGCACTTACTGTGTGCCAGAATTTTATTAGGCACAGCCACGAATTTGAAAATTACAGTTCTGCCCTCTTGGCCCATCGAATAGTGTGTTATGTCTTCTGGTAGGGACTGGTCAAATGTGCTGGGTATCTCTCCCCCTCCATCTTTTCTCCACCCTCTTTCCCATGAAGCTGATGAATGGACCACAGCAGTGAGCTCCTTTGCCTCCTGGCTTCTAAGTGGGTTTGGTCAAGGAGTGTCCTGGTCAGAGAGAGACAGATGGTCAGGGTATCGATCCTTTTGGCTCTGTCATCACTTCCAAACTTACCTTCACTAATTTCCTCTGATTTGCCGTTCCCTGTGCTTTTCCCTTCTGGCCAAGGGGTAATGTCAGCTCTGCTGCCACTAACCTGGGGTTGCTAAAGCTAGTGTGCTTCCTGTTACGGCTCCCTGCACCAATGCCTTTGTACAGTATCTCCTCAGAGTATCTTAATTTAAAGACCATCTGCTTCCTCTTGGAACCAAGACCAAGAAACCAAAGAGGAATTCCTAGAGAACAAATACTCCAATGAGTTTATCTCTGACAGGTCCTTGTCACCAATTATCAGAAAGGATCTCATAACTTTACAGAGTATGTCCTAACAGTTTTGGTAACCCATATCCTATTCTGTAGATATCTATGCAGATACTACACAAAGAAATGAATTTTTCTTGGACAAACTCTTAAGCCAATGTCTGCAGCATTTAGTTGTGAGTTTATGAGTAGATCTAAATGCATTTACTCCACTCTTCCAGCCTACCCTGGGGACCCTTTGAAACGCAGTAAGTCACACGGCTTTTCCATCCAAACAGATTTTCAATCTGAGAAAGAACATCTTTTCTTAGATCTATAGTTTTAGGATTGTCCAAAAGGCCTGTAATCTCTATTCTTAGCCTGGCAGTACAGAGGGCAAGAGGGCAAAGTTTCTCTGGAGTCAGGTCACCACACGTTGGTCTCATTTCATGTTAAGCGAATGCCAAGATCCGTTCAACTTTTTTGTACCATGGACCCTTTTTCAGAATAATATTTTTAAGTGCAGAAAATGAAATGCATGGGATTACAAAGAAAACCAATTATATTGAAGTGTAAGTTATCAAAATATATAAATGTGTGATACAATAATAAATGTTCATTTAATAACACATCTAGCAAGAGGTTTAATAACCGCTCTGACCTCGAAGTAGCATAAACACTATATTGAGATCTCTGCAACAACTAATGAGATATGAAAATACCTGCTTTCTGTTATTGACAGAGTCACAGTCACTGCCTGATACAGCTCTGCATTGTTGTATTTATGCGCAAAAGAAATACTAAATTCCACTTACAGTTTAGAAAAAATAATTCTTGTTCCCATGCAAGTGCACATATCCTCTGAATTCTACCCTTAAATCTCTTGGAGGTCTGGACTCCGGGTTAAGATTCCCTGACCTAGCTAACCAGATATTGATGGCAATATTTCAAATAGGACAATAACATTATATTCAATGGCCAATGATACTTAATACAGCATAATTTGGTATTTAATATTCACATCTCATGTCTACTTCATTAACACATATGTAGCAAATTACATGTGTGAGGTTTTATTTAAAATAGATTATACCTTGAGGTTCCTGTCTGGCTCAGTCGGTAGAGTGTATGACTCTTGATCTTGGACTTGTGGGTTTGACCCCCACATTGGGTATAGAGATTACTTTAAAAAAAGTAAAATATTCAAAATTCAAGATTATTTTTTAGGAACTTTATAAATGAGGGAAGCAAGGCACGATCTTATTCATACTGAGGTTATCTTCCAATCATGCAATAAACATTCATGGGCCATTCATTATACAATCACTGAACTCAAGGAACTAGTTCAGTGAGGGACAAGTGCTTATGGAAACAAGTACTTGCCACAGAGTGTAGTGTGATGTCAAGAGTATCAAGGACATGCTTGTGGGATCACATAAATGTATACCCAGCCCAGACAGGGAGGATTAGGAAGAGCTTGAAGATGAGTTGGCAGTAGGTAAAGAATAGAGGAAGGCTATTTGCGGCCAATGCAATGAGATGCACAAAATAAAAGACAATGAAGTGAGTTTGCCATGTTCCTGGAACTGAAAACAGTTCAGGTGCAGCTGGGAAAGAGATGAGTCTGGAGAATCATGGAGTGTGACTGATGGTCGGACAGCCCAGGGAACCTGCCTGCTGCCGCGCTGCTGCCATGACCATCCCTATGTGCTGCTTCACCGTAGCAAGATCGCCGACAAGTGGGAGGCCTACGTGGGGTTGCTGCAGGCCCGTACACCGAGGGGGCTGGCCCACACCGACCTGATGGAGAAGCTGCTCAAGTCTGCACGCCTGGAGAAGTGACCGTGCTGGAACCTCCCGCTGCCCTGCTGACCACAGCCACATGGGCACGTGTTCTCCCACTCTGGAAGGAACCATCCAGTAAAGGTCCTGGCAGGACCAAAAGAGAGAGAGAGAGATGAGTCTGGAGAGGGAAGAGGTCATGGTTTGCCTAGAATCCTTTCCTTTCGGAAATACCCATTCTCCTCTGTTGTATGCCTCATTCCATTCTAGAGTGACTGGCCAAGGAGGAGCACATGACCCAACCCAGGCCTCTCCCTTCCTCAGGATCTGAGTTTGAAGGACCTTGGGTTGCCAATGGCTATGTTGCTTCCACATGGACAGAGCCTGTCTAGAAATAAAACTAACATGAGAAAAAGCAGGACTAGGAATGATAGGTATTAATACCATCTTTAAACTCCTAAATCTAGCCCTGCCTAAAGCCAACCTTGGACTCTTCAGTTACATGAATAAACAAATTCCTCATTTTTGCTTAAGCTACTTTGAGTGAGGTTTCTGTCACTTGGAACTGAAAGGTGACCGACTTACATAGGACAGTAAATATGAACAGTGACACTGACATCCCTTTGGAGGGGAGTGACTCAAAGCAGGGAAGCAACACCATCAAATTTGCATCATGGACAACACTGACCACTAGAAATGGGCACGTCTAGAGGGAAGGAGAATGATGTGGCTATTGAAGTGACCATCACCTTCTCTGAATATTTCTAAGAATCCTCAGATTTGCATGTACTAACCACAACGCCCCTCTTGTTTCAAAATAACTTGAGATTTTTTCTTATTACAGAAAACTCAGAAAATACTCAAGAGCAAAAATAAGGAAACAGAAAACTCCCAAACCTACCCTCCAGGGACAATCACTGTTAAAGCTCATATGCATCTTTCTAAGCCCCTATGTGTGTGGCATGTGTCTGCATGTTCACAGAAGTTCGTAGACCAGTTTCTACGTACACACTGCTTTCCCTCAGTTTTAGACTAATTTGCTTGATAGTGATTTTACTTCTTATTTCCAGTATAAAGTCTCGTAATTGTAAGAGGTGAGGGCGTATACTTGAAGATATGGGAAAGTTAATGATGAAATCTTCTTCTGATCCCCTTTTACATTGATCATCGAACACATTGCAATGTGGAAATCCTTGTCTGTGGTATGCATTTGGCATTCACCTAGTCTAAGGTTAACATAAGTTTGCATTTTGAAGTTTTAAGTTGATGAACAGGAATATGATTCAAAATCATAAGCTGATCAGTGATTTGTTCTTCTGGAAAAATACTAAACCTTTGGTTTCGCACATGTTCTTTTTTCCAGATTATTGATTTTTGCATATTTGAAGTGCAAGGTACATATGGTATGATCTCATTTGCTTAATACCTTTTCCTACTTCAGTGAACATGCAGACACATGTC